TGCCCATTTTCTTCTTAAGTTGTAAAACAGGGGTTGGCAACATTCTGGGGTCAATGGGCACATTGAAACCACAGAATCTGTCAACCATGCACACACAGACTCATTGCAATAAAACTCCCAGACATGCACTTATTGCGACAACTGAAATACGCACACACACTGCAACTACACATACACTAACTCCCCCTCCCCCAGCAGTGGTGTGGATGTTTTCATTTCCCCCAAAAAACATAATGGGCATAGGATGATCTTCCTGGAGAGTACAGGTGCGAAAGGGGGAATTACCATATTTTTCCATCTATAAGATGCCCTCTGTTTGGGGGGACTCAGATTTAAGAAAATGGGGGGAGATGGCCTAGAGTATAAGACACCCCCTAATTTTTGACATTCTTTTTAAGGAAAAGAACCTTGTCTTATACACGGAAAAATATGATAATCCAGCAGCAAGGCCGCTCCACTTCCCTGTGGAACGGTGTTGCAGGCAGATCACATGCTCTCACCGTGTACAGCGGGGAGTGGCAGTGCCATAGGGGAGTTCCAGCCACGTCACATCCCCAGCCAAACAATCTGGTTGGCCGGGGGGTGTGGCTTACCATATTTAAGCAGACGTATGCCCAAGGGATCTCCCTCTTGTTTCTGCTTCCCCAGATCGGCTTAATACTTCGGTTGCTAAAACCTGATTCATGGGAGGGGAGGTTGTGGCCATCACCTGCCCCTCCTCTTTAAGGGTATTCCATTAAAGGGATCCGGGGGTGTGGCTCTCATCCGAAGCATGTGTATGGGCTAGGGCCATCCCATGACGACACTGGGGGAGTTCTCAGTTGATGTACATCAACAGGGCTCCCCCTACTGGTGGTTGACCCTTACTGGACTACCTGCATGGCGGGCAGGAGTCAGATATAGTTGGTTCAATTCCAGTGCCTAAGCCAATACCACTCACATGCTGTAACCAATAAAGTTGTGGCCTTCATTAGCCCATTAACCTAAAATACTGGTGTCCATGTGTTTTATTATTCAACAAATGGGGGAGGGCTTGGGGCCTTGACACAATTCTCCTCCATGCACACTGCTACAGCAATTGGACTTGGAAAAAGGGAAACATCAGTGGCAGACTTTGGGCTCTCAAATTTCAGCAGCACCCTATGCGACCCTAAAATTTGTCTCTCTCGCTCCCTTCTACAGCGTTCTTGTGGCACCTCCTGCAGTGAGGTGCTCAGTGCCACTACATCATCCTAAAGCTACCTCTGGAACCATTATATTTTTCTCAAGTCTAATTACAGAGGGGAGGAGTGAAGGGGGGAATTCAACTGGGGGGGGGGGGAGAGTTCATCCTTGCCTTGCTGAAATTTCTCCTCCTTTGATGCAATTAGTCTTGAAATAAGACCGTTATATATTGGCTCATGTTTATATCCTTCCCACAAAAGTTTTGTTTTTATCCTGACCTTTTCTATCTTTTTTCTTGTTTTCTCTCCTCCTCCCCCCGAGAATGTCTTTGTCTTCCTCTTAAAATGCCTTGAGTAGCTTTGTTATTTTTAACATTCAAATATCCTTCTTCTTGTGAGTGGATTCCAGCATACCCCGTGATGTCCACTTTAGGGTAGTTGTGTGTGGTTCTGTTGTAGCCACACTTGTCAGAACCATGCAGGCAAGCAAAATATCACAAAGTATCTCCTGAACAAAGCCTCAAGCAGATAGCTGGCTGTGTCAGTGAATTTTCTAAATCTGAAGGACAGAATATAATAGGGAGTATGCAATCACCAGGGTCTTCTGAAGTTCAGAAAGAGCCCAGGAGATAATGTCATTGGTACAAAACGTTGTCAGAAGATAATGGTCTCCTGCTGCTAGATTAAAGCCTGGGAAGACTGAGCCCTCTTAGCAAAACTACACACAAGCAAAACCAAGCTACTGATGGTATTTTCAAAGTAGGAGGCATTTATCTTGTAACAACATCCTATTCCATTCACTCTGCTCTTTTGTTGTGGCAGAATAGAAAAGAACTGTGTCGTTGTTCAGAATATGCCTTGCTGTTTTCTGATTGGTTCATCTTGCTTTCCAACCTTGCCATGATTCTTGGGCTGCTGTCCTAAGCATGCTTAAATGGATGCTTAAACCCCAATTTAAATCAATAAGGCTGCATCCTTAAACACATGTACTAAGGAGTAAGCCTGACTGAACACAATAGGACTGACTCCTGAGTATACCTATATGGGATTGCACTGTTATTACTGTCTTCCAAGCATTTTAATACTCTACCTTTCTATTTGCAAACAGAAATTTATTTCATGTGAGGAACTCAATTCCTCTGAATATGATAAAACAAAAGGCATCTCTCAAACATATATCCTCTGCTCAGCTGAATTTTATTATCGAGGATGTGTAAATGCAAACAACCAAATACCACTGCTTGAAAAGGAATAGCACTGGTGGTACTTTAGTTATTTACAGACTAAATAGGCAGGGCATAGTTGAGTTTGGCAAGGGGTGTTTTTTATATCCAATATCTCCACCTTACACCAAATATTTCAGCTCAGTGCTGATCTGTGCTCTAATCAATCAGCCATGCTCAAGAGTAGATTATTGTTATGCTTTATATACCGTTTTAACTTTCAGGAGCATTCGGTATTAAATCTACAGTATGCTGCGTTGAAACACTGGATCACTGATGAGCTCTCTTCCAGGGTCACCAGTCTGTAAAAATAACAGGTTGTAACCTTTTAAATTTTGCACAAAAAGGAATATCCCATGACTCTCCTCAATGGAACCATCACACCTATTTATGTATTTCATAAGATTTATACTCTGCTTGTGTTCCTTTCTTTAAAAAAATAAAAATAAAACAGTAAAAATCCATAAAAACAACTCTGTAAATCATTCAAAACAATTTATAGGATCAGAAATTGACTTCATTCTTTTTTAAAAAAAAATCAAACCAGAGCAATAATTAACAGCACAACCCTATGCATATTAGCTTGAGGTAAGCCACACTGAACACCGTGGAACTTATTTCTGAGTAAACATAGGATTGAGTTGTAATAATCTAAGCCTGAAATCCTATGCATACTTGCCTAGGAATAAGTTTCATTTAACTCCTTAGGACTACTTCTGAATGGATATGCATAGGATTGTGTTGTTAGACTCAATTTGGATTATCTTTCAAGTAAGGCAGTATTTTTTATTACCACAAACTGGATTACACTTTGAAGATATGGATAGTAGAAAGTACAGTGTTTCTGCTCATGAAGGAGTCCTAATGCTGTTAGGTTAGGCTCAGACCAGGTCTTCCTCTACTTTTGTTCTAATCATCATCCTGACTTATTCATTTCCCCCAATCTTCAGTTTTTATATTAGGCTTGTTGTGTTAGGTCAAGACGATTGGCTAGCATGTGTTTTGGTTTGGTTTTTGCCTAATAGTATAACCTGTTAGTGGCTTTTATTAAAAGGGCTTTTTTGCCACATATGTTAGTCATGCATATGCTCAGCATGAACCTGTTGTGAGGGAAGTGGAGGGGTGTTGAATGGAATGTTGGATGAAGTGAGAGTGAGTGACAGGCATATTTGGGTCGGTTAAGAAATTATACTTTGTGGGTGTGACTGTGAGAAAGCCAGAAAAGGACTGGGAAAAAGGAGAAGAGAGATATGTAACAGTGTATTTGTTTCAATTTATTTATTTTATTTTATTTTAGGATTTGTTGTTAAGGGTTAATGCATTCCATCAGTATAATGAAAAATCAGGGGGCAGTAGGTTCTACAATTTTTTTAGTTTAAAAATGTCTCAACAAATAGATTTGAAACTTACCAGTACAAGAAATGAAGATTTGAGGACTCTCCGTGACAAATTTGGGGTAGAAAAGATAAGAAATGGCTTATTCTGAATGAATTAAAGGGTATTATGTGTTTTTCTTCTACAGAATTTGCCAGGGTTGTTCTCCATAAATATTTCTTCCTGTGCACTGTGTGCTTTGGAAAATGGGCTGCTGATTTAGGTCAAAGGGAACGTCTAGTATTTGGTTTCACCTATGAGTTCTGTAATATTAATTGTTATTAAAAATGCTTTTTCCTAGCCAATGTTAGTCAATGGACCTGTTATTCCATTGTTGCTAAGCAGCAGTTTTGGGCCAATCTTAGCCTCTGAAGTACAAGATTCTCATAGAATAGGCCTCGCTCTTGAAGAGCTTACAGGTCAGGTGAGCCAAGAGGTGAGATGTTAGGTGTGAAAGGACAGGGAGAAGAAATCACAAGAGATGAGTAAAAATAGTTTGCGAGGCATGGAGGAAGGGGAAATGTCTTTAAGGTGCACAGTGGCTGGATTTGTAACAGGCAGCTTAAAGGCCCTGAGGAGTCTTCACAAAAAACGAAAAAGATTTAGGTGGTAACACTGTGCTGTATCTGCTGAATTTCTTTGTTCTCCATTCCAACTTTTAAAGACCAGCCTTACCAGTGCTGGCCACCACCCACCCACCCTGCAAATTCAGGCCTTCTCCTGCACCTTCAATAACTATAGAATGTGCAGAAATTGGCTAGAGTGGTTGTAGGGCATGGACACCAGCATTGTACTAATTACACTTGTAACGCGAAGGTAGTGGTGAAGATGGAACTAACTACAGAACTATAGAATACCATACCATTTCAATCTTGCCTAAATTACACACCTGCAGCTTAGCAGTTGTAATTTCCTGACATTTTGGAGCTTGTGTAAAGATGGAAAGCCCTTAACACAACATATTAAAGCAAAATATTTTTCGTTTATTGAACAAACACTCAAAACTGGAATTCTGCCATACCATGAAGAGGGAGAAGGAATCCCAGTGAAGTACAGTGATATGCTATTGGCCAGGCCCATGGATGCTCTTTGGGAAATAAGCTCTTTAGGAAACAACTGCCATCTCAAAGGTCCTAACTATTTGGCAATGTGTAATTTCTCTCTCTCTTCCTCCCCCCTCCATCCACAATTGTTTTACCTCAAATGAAAGGCCCTTGTTTTGTTTTTGTTGCAATTACAGTGCAAATTGGAGTTTCATGCGTGCACATCTGGCAAAAACATTGCAGCTCGCTGTGAAGGGCCTTGCCCATGCCTTCCAGGACAGGAAAGTCTAAAGCACAAGGCCGAGAAAACTGGTGAGTTGATCTGTTGACTTTGATATAAAATGTCTTTCTAATTACATTTGCTGTTGGTATGCTGTCCGGTCCAATCCATATTTACTCCGAAGAGAGATCCACTGAGTTTGGCGAGACTTATTTTCAAGCATATGGCTGTTGGATTGCAATCTATGTGGTGGCAATAGATTTACAAGTCCTGGGGCTCTTTTGTTATGACTTGTGAAGAACGTGGAAAAGCCCTCTAGCCCAAGCATTCTGGAATCCTAGATGAGTGATTTCCAAATCCTGAATGGGTCACTGGAGCCTTGCAGTTGAATTGAATTGCTACTGCAAGTTCATGTGAAGGGTAGTGCATCAGAAGAAGGTGGCAGGAATGTGTGTAACAGCTTCGTCAGTGTGGGAACCAAGGGCTGGGCTGCGGAGAGAAAAAATGCAACTTCCTATTGGTAGAACCCTCTGCAAAATTTTATGACTTTTTTATAGCATTTGTCTTTGACTGGTGTTTTGGGACACGCTATGCAGCGAAATCCTATACATGTCCTATTAAGTCCTATTAAGTTCAATGTGGAGCTTACTCTCACATAAGTTCTGTAGTATAAGATTGCAGTCTGAAAGTGGGTTGCAGCACTATCACCAAGCAAATAAATGTTTGAAAATTAGGAAGTGGGTCACCAAATACATGTTTCAGCTAAAGGCAGCCCCTAAGTCTACTAAGGGTTAGGACTACTGTTCTGCATGAGTTATAAGAACACTTCTTGTTTCTCAAACATTCAGTGTTTCTCACTTTGCGAGACGCCATCAACAGGTGTGTTAAAAAATGCTAACTGGACAATCAGCAGACTGGCTAGCCCAGAGACCATTGCAGCATTCCCAGCTAGTGGAATAGAAGAAAACAGAGTGTCCATGTCTATCCTAAGCCTTCACTTATTGCCACCTCCACCAATGGCCTCTGGTTTTCCTCTCTCACATCACTAATGAGCCCAATGAGGACACATGCCAGCCCTGTTTAGGTTTCTGAATCATTAACATGATGAGGGCTTGTGAGGATGAGCACACTGGCGAATGACCTATCATTGCCCCTTCGCCCTACATTAGTTCAAAGAATAACTTCTGGGTAAGGAGATTTTTCTACTCATATAGGTTCCTTGTGTGATTCAGAACCCTGATTTTCCAAGATTCTAAATTGCGCACTGAAAATTGTAGAAAAGCAACCTATATCTAAAAGGATATCCTTATTGTATTGTTATTTTTTATTGTTTTTTAGACCCAAGGAAGATGATATTATGCTGCAGCTATTGTTCTAAATAACAGCATTTAATTTGGCTGCTCCTCTTAAAGAATGCATCATTATTTCCCCTGCTCACCACATTTTATCAAATTTTGAGAAAGCATTTTCCATGGCATGGCCACCCAATATTACACATGTGTTTAGTAATCCCTGGTGTGGCTGGGATGGTTTTGGAAAAAAACTCACTGATAAATTGCCACATTTTTATTTTCTTTTTTCCTTCTCTTAAACAAATACACATGCACACCCATTGCCTCACATTATCTGCTCTCTCTATGCCCTTTCACATGCCCTTATCAGAGGCTGTATCATATTAATAAATCTCCAGTGACATTTTAAGCTCACAATTTCATTCACATAACAGAATAAATTCTAATAACTGTTAGGTTGATAAATGCAATTTGACAGGATGTACGTATTCAGCAGGGCAAGCTTTTGTTTTGCTTGAATCTCTGATTAGTTAATTCTGCTGTGCAGAGCACATTGTGATGTGTTCATCTCTTTCTGGAAACACAACTTCTCAAGTGATTGAGACAATAATTATTTTGGAGTTGGTTCTCTTAATGACCACCCTGTATGTTACTCTCACAATTAGTGCATGTGTGTAACTGATCTACCCATTTTTCCGATCACTGTACTGCTCTCTTATGTGGCCTGTGGCCAATGCAGGTGTCAAAATCCACACCCATGACGTTTTCCAGGTACTTGAAGGAGGACAACCCTATGCAGTCCAGTTCTAAGATTAGTGGTAGAAATGAGGGCCTTCTTTCCACCCCGACTACAACCAATGTGTCCTGTTGATTCACCGATGCCTGTCAATAATTAAAGTTATGGCCTAGTGATATTCCAAGACTGGGGCCTGCCTCTTTCTTGCCAATCACAATACAAGGTGTTGCTTATCTCAGCCATCTCACAAAGGTGTCAGGTTTTCTTCTTCTGGCAACCAAGGTAGGCAGCAGTGACCAGAAGCAGATTGGCTAGTGGGATGGAGCTACAGCAATAGCCTCCCAGCAGCACTGTTGTGGCTCCCTACCAGAATGGAGATGGTGAAACAGTGAGTGGCACCAATCCAACACTCCTACCACTATGCTCACACAGCCCCAACCTCAGTTCTGCCTCGCTCTCCCTTCTTCCAGTAAGCAACAGCAATGCCACACCCACACTGCTACACCCACCTCTTGCAATGGAGGTGCCCACACAGATCAATATTGCTGCCTCTGCTGGCTAGGGAAAGCAGATGGCTGCTTCTTTTGAATAACTAAGAACTGTGGCAGTAAGACCTGTAATGAGCATCCTTTTCTTTTAGAAGGGCCAGAGCTCAGTGGTGGAGTATCTGCTTTGCGTGCAGAATGTCCCAGATTAAATCTATGGCATCCATAGATAAAGCTGGGAAACGCAACAGCCTGAAACACTGTAGAACCACTGCCAGTCAGTGCAGACAATATTGAGCTAGATGGACCAATGGTCTGCTCATGGAGGATATATTTCTCTGGCCAAAACTGCTGGGATAAAAAAAAACTTGATGAGGTTATTGCTGGTGGTTGTGCAATTCCTGCATTCTAACATTGCCTTTGAGACCTAGCCTCTGCCCATTCGCAGTATCTCCCTGATCACACCCACCCACCCACTTACGCACAGAATATTTTATAATGTCTCTCCCTATAAAGCTAGCAATTTGGTGTCCTGCCTGCAGTTCTGTTATGTAATTAGCATGGTCCAGTTTGTGCTGAGGTAATGTAAATAGAAAGTCTCTCAGAGATTAATTTATTTTCTCAATAAGAGTGTCAGGTACAAAATTCCTTTAACTGAAATTTGCTGACAGGTGATGCAGTATTTCCATCACTTATGAGAAGCTGAATTTGTGAAATCTATTCAGACATGACCATATTGCTAAGCAGAAATAAAAGAAGGCAGTGCTGAAACCGGTGCTTCAATAGAGGGATGTTAGTGGGAAACTACTGAACAGAATTACAGTGGCAGGGTTCTGAGCAAAATGGAAGCATGCCTCACCAAACTGCTGCATAAGCTTTCTTAATCCATTTATATGAGTTAAATATATGTAATTTTAAACTTCTAATTTCCAGGCTTCCACTTTGTTCTGCATATGTTCACTTAGTTGAGCACAATTATGATTCTAAGTTAAAGGTATAAAGAAACATTTTATCTCCAGGGTGCTATTAGATTAGTCTTAAAAAAAAAAACCACCAAAAAATGCCATGTGAATGAAAAACACAGAGAGCAGTATCGGTGTGGCTTACCTGAGGTGGGATCTCAGATGATATTATTGGAAAATGTTTGCGATTTAAGCAACCACCATCTTACGGATCTTTCCCTTCTACTCAAAATTCTATTGTGCAATTTTATCCAGCCCATGTGGCTTCTTAATTCATGTGTTTTTCTAGTGGCAAGAGATCCCACTATAAGAAAGCAGCTAACACAACTCCCAGCAAGGCAAATGGGGCCTGACAGGTGTGCTTTGAAATAAAACATTGCTTTTAGCAACTTAGAGCATCTCTATGGAGCCTCAGATCAGAGAATCAGAGCTTCAAACTTAGGGGTGCAAAACAGCCTGATGGTTACCTTCCCATGGCCGCAGGCCAGTGGGGCAGCATCAGAGGCAAAAGTGGGCATAGGAAAGAATGTGAATCCTACCTTTGTACAGTAGGCTAGTTTCTATACACACTTACATACCCTTCTCTGTCCTCCAATCAGACAAGCACATTCCACTTTCACCTTGATGAGAGGTCAGTGGCTCTGGTGGGAAGTGGCAGCTGGATTTGGCATCCTTATTTAGAATCTGAACAGATCCACCATCGCAACTTGTGGTATGGCACCTTGGCCATACCAAGTCTAGTGCTGATGGTGCTGCAGAGCTGGCAAGGACACCATGAACCTGACATGGAACACCTGCGATCCACAAGTGCTTCCTGTTGCATGCCAAGGGGTGACAGGAATGGAGAAACAGGACCTTGGACAGTACCATTGCAGGCCATTACTGCTAACATTTGATGTGTGGTGCAGGAAATTTGGTGTAGCTCATTCATTTAGTCTGCAGCTTTCCTGGGAGTAAGGAAACCAGTATGCCCTGCATGAGACAAGATTATATAGCACTGGCCTGATTTAGCTGCAGAGACCCATACTATGAATGATTTGATTGGAGCTAAATTTGTAAAAATTATGCTGCACATCTTTCATGGGTCTCTTTCAGGATCTATTTTGCAAGCCCCATTGAGTTGAATGGAAGTGTATTAGCTGCAGTGCCTGATTGATTACAGTTCTGATCTGAAGAAGGGTAAACTGGACTAATAATTTCTTTAATAATAGCTCCCTGTTAACATCAGCACCCAGTATCACTAAGGCATTCACATCATAATAATCATTTCATTTGAATTATAAGATGGCAAGAAGGAAAATTAAAGGACGATTTGTCACTGTAATGATATATGCTCTCTGCATTGTCTGGTATTCTGCAGTAAAATCTTTGAAGAGACAAGCAAATTGTATTCTTTGGTCCTTGTGTTTTGAAAATTGGATTTTGCTCAGTTCTGCAAGAAGCAAAACCCTCATAGTGATGCTGTATTACAAATGGCATATTTTTAAAGTGAAAGCAAATGTTTAATCCACATTCTCTGCCTGCCTGCCTGCTTGTGGCAAACAAAGTTTGAAGTTCATCAAAACATGGGGTCTGTGCTTCATTATGAACAACAGCACCAGGCCTTACAGTCTGTTC